GAAGTTGACTCACTATGTTATACACCTAAAATTAATGTAACATTGTGTGTCAACTATCCTCAGATAAAAAAAAAATTAAAGAATAAAATCTTAAAAGTGTTGAATCAGGTACTAAATTGGAACATAGTGTCACTTGTGATTAATGCACTTGATTTTACTGTTTATTTTAAACATACAGTGCATACGGTACCATCAGACATCTATCATTTTATTATGGTACCATCAGACATCTATCATTTTATTACATCAATTTGTTTTTGCATCAAGCAAAATTTTGGAAAATCCTTAGCATATACATTTTATGCTTTAGGAAGCTTGAGATTTCTCTATGTGTAGTGAAATTTGATGAGATTGGATGACCCGTTATTCAGTCATAATAGTCATTTTCCCACCTCATGAATAAAATGGCTATGGAAACCCCACATCTATTAAAGCTGGTACTTTGCAGCACCATTTGATACTTTGATCACTCTTTCCTCTTAAAAATGCTCTTGGCTTCATGTCCACAGTTTCAGTTATCATGTATATCCTAAAGACTTTCAAATTTTTTTCTCCAGCCCAGTTCTTTCCTCTTTGCTCCAAACCTTTATATCCAACTGCATATGACCCTCCACCTATCCCAAATCTGATTTACAATCTTTCCTTGTGTTCTCCACCTTAGTGGGTAGCATCACCATCCTGGTTTCTTAAGAAACCAGGATATTTTCTTGATATTTTGCTCTCCCCTCATCATCCATTATCAATTCTATCAATATTACTTTCTAAATATCTCTCAAATCCATCCATTTGTCTCCATTCTGCTTTCACCATATTGGCCCAGTCTATCATTATCTCTGGCCTAAAACGCTGCCTGCTTTTGTACACTGTACCGGGGATAATGTTTTTGACATGCTTATCTGATTTTGTCACCCCCCCCCACTTAAATCCTATTGCTTTTAGGATTAAGGTCTAAATCTTTAACAGGTATACAATGCATTGCATATTCTGCTTCTCCTTTGCCTTTCCCACCTCATCTTGTACCTCTTTCCTCCTTGTGCTCCCTGCTGTGGGCTCCATCCAGTTCCGTGAACCTGATATACTTCCTCTTGCCTCAGGACCTTTGTGCATGCTGCTCCATGTTCTAGAACTGTGCTATATAATGCCATAGCCACTGGCCACATGTGGCAATTAGAATTAAATAAAATCAAGAGTTTAGTTTCTCAGTCCCACTAATTACAATTTTAAGTGCTCATTGTGACTGGTGGCTACCATATTGGACAATGAAGATACAGAACATGTCCATCTTCACACAAAACTCTATTGGACAACACTGTTCTAGCATATTCTTCGTCACCTCCCACACCCTTTGTCCTTTGTGACTTTCTCAGGGAAGCCCTCCCCGTCCTCCCTTCAGTTCCTAGTAGAGTCAGTTTTCTTTGTATCTAAGTATCCCAGCCAAAGACTACCATGAACACTTCTGTAATCAGGATTACATTTAGTTAGCCTGCTTCAGCAGGGGACCCGTAGGGACAACTCAGTAAGACAGAGTTCGGAGGAGCTCTTCATAGTGTTTGGGCTTATACTGGGTAGGTGTTAAGGAGGGATTCTGTGACAGCCAGCTTTGGACTGGATTTGAGAAGACATTGAGGCAGCCTGGAAACTGGGTAGCCATTGTTTAGGAGATGAGATGAGCACAGCAGGACTGAGGATGTCTTTGTCAAGAAAGCGCAGTCCCTCAGAAGGAAAACGCGTTATTCACTTTTGTGGCTGTGTTACTGTTTTCTGGGCTTCTGTTGGAAACATTCCTGTTGGCCTTGTCTGTGTGCCACAGTGGGACTGATTTTTACATTCTCAGTTGTGCTGTGCTCTCCTCTCCTAGGACTCTTTGCTTTTCTCCAGAGTGCTTGCACACAGTTTGTAATTTTTTTAATGAATGACTTTTTAAGTAACATGTTTCCTCTCCTAGACCAGAAGCTTCATGAGAACAGAGGCCTCTTCTCTTTTGGTTCACTTTGGTACCCATAGCACCTAGCATGCTGCCTGATACAAAGTAGAGGCTCACTCAGTCTTTACTGGAAGAGTGGATGAATGAATAAATGAATGATAAGACCTAAAAAAACTGGTGGCTGATCAAAGACGTGGAATCAGAAAATATCTGATTTTCTGACAACTGAAGAATCATTTGTCTTTTTACAGTAGATTCTTAGCAGATGTCTCTTTCCTCACACCCAAGAAAAACATTAGAATTCTAATATTCAAAATTTAAATAGAACATTCAACTATTGCCTGATATCTCAAGTCCTTTTAGAGTAGTCTTTAAAATATGTTATAATACCTTCTTTACTATCATTTTTCTCAGTCCAAATGAAGAAATGTATGGATGCATTATATCAAATTACAGTAAGGTAAAGTCATGTTGGCTTTTGGCATCCTACAAATTATATTAAAAGGTTTCCAAATAGTTGGTAACTGTAACTGGAAAGACCCAAACATTTTGACTGTGATTCTTAGTACTAAATCATGTAGGCCATATGACCCATCAATGTGATCAGGTCTCATAAAGGATTGTGATGTTTTCCAGGTGGAATAACTTTCTTTTTTTTAATTACACAGGTAATATAAAAGAATTAAGGATGAAATTTTAAGCTTGAAAAAAGCAATATCCACATTGGTAACATGTCTACTATTTTTATTTTTTCATAGTTCTTGTCCACATGCACTCATGTTATTAGAGTAAGATTATTTTAGTCAGCATACAGTTGACAGTCTCTTTGAATCTAAACAGTTGTGGTGTATCGCACCTTCTCACATCACCTGGGGGATTAGAACCATTGAATTGATAAGTCCACTATGTTGTAGTAGGCTAGCCTATCTTCAGGCTTCAGAGTTCTGTGGCATGGACGATAAAGTCACTGAGGGCCACGTTTACTGATACTGGTTCACCATGTGTTGCTCTGGTTACTGCATATTCCTTCAAAGAAGACCTTGGAAGTGCATCTGCTCGATCTCTTCCTTAAATGCCCTTTTCATCATGCTACCCTCCTACTCCAAAATGTCCTAATTCTTAACTATACTAAATGTAAATACCTTTTCATAGATCAGCCCTTTCCAATAGAACTTTCTGCAGTGATGGAAATTTTCCTTTATTCTCTCTAATATAGTAGCCACTAGCCACGCATGGCAACTTGGTACTTAAACCATAGCCGGTTGCCTAAGGAACTAAATGTTTAGCCTAGATTTTTAGGTCCTCTCTTCATAATCAAATCAGGCCTATGTCCTTGGTCCCATGTACGTACCACATTTGTACCTATCATTTTGTCTTGACTCGTGTTGGTCCTCTTTCCGCTGGATGACTTTTTCTCAATTCCTTCATTTAATCCAGCTTCTCTGTAGCTTCCAAGGGTTAGAACAATCTCCACAATTTCTGTGAAATGTTCCTGTAATCTTGCTGACCTTCTTCCCTGGCAACGGCCATTTTGTGCTTCTCCAGCTAGGACACCTGAATGAATGAATGAATGAATGATTCAAAATAGACTTTCACATCTAGTCATTTGCTGTATTTTACTTCTATTTGTTGTTGTTGTTGTTGCTTATGTGACTGTACTCATCTCCTCAACTAGTTTTTATATCTTTGAGGCCAGGACAGTGTTTTATATATTTTCTGTATTTCTCTTGGCACCAGTCAGTTGGTGGAGCCCCAGAAAATTCCCATTGAATGCTTTGTTGATTGATTGATTGCAAAAGAAACACAAATCTGTATCTTAGATTCTTTGTCACGATTATTGAACTGGTCAACAAAACTTATGAAATGTTCCTGGGATGCACTTTGAAGGTCAAACCATTTTCTTGGATCCGGGAATTTATAAAACTGCATAAAAAGAAGGTCATATATATGTACATATGAACTGTGAATTTTAGAGATGGTGATTAGGGATTGTGAAGAAAGTTTGAAAAATAGCAGTGAGTAACCCTTTCCTGAGAAAGAAACCTTTGAACTGCTAGTCAAAGAATAGAAGTTTATGTCTGAGAAATGAGAGGCAGGAGAATTGTTTCTTTGAAAGAGGTACTACAAAAAGGTCACGTGGGAGGACCAGATGTGTGTGGTCAGTCAAGTGCTTTTTCATTCTGTTATATTCACTTTAGGATCAAGAGTTGGGGATTTTGTGTATCTGCTTTCGAAAGAGTTTTAAAATGTAGCAAAGTGCATCCTACTTGCACTAAATCACAAATGGAGATCTCTGGATCCAAGCTTCATCGCGTGTAATACTAGGACTCAGAGTTTCCCTCCAAAACTTACTCTTATAATATTGTGATAATGACGATCTTAGAGAAGGGCACAGAATATGGTCAAGTGATTACTATATAATAGAATTTAATACACACATATAGAGCCCACTATGTCCCAGGTACTGTACTTAGTACTTCATATCTATTAACACATTTATGCCTCTAATCTCTAATCACTGTAAATGAACATTTTATAGATGGAGAAAATATGGCCCTTGCCTCAGTTTATATAGGTAGCAGGTAAAAGAGTCAGAACTTGATGCTAGATAGTCTTGCTCCAGAAATTATGTCCCTAGCCACTCTAAATACTGCCCTATGCTATGTATGCTATGTAGTCTCTCTGTAATCAGTGTTCCATTAACTCAGAATTTGTGACTTTTGGAATGAGCATTGGAGATAATAGGAAATGGAAGAGATGTTTTATATGTTTGAAGAAACAGGTTCCAATACCTGCAGACACTTCTGGAAGACCTGCAGACATGTGAATATGGACATGTGAATAATATGCAAAGCACAAATGCCTTTTCTGTTGAGTGTAATTCTCGGTGTGCAGCTGATCTGCAAGTTCTGTGTACAAATGGTAACTATGTTCATTGTAGTTGAAAACACAATACTAAAAAATGTATTATCTTCCTTTCTGAAGTGAGGATAAAACAGTTTGGGCACATTTGTTGCCTTTTTTTAATGATGACTTACCTATTCGTTTTAATTTTGATGACTTTTAACTTTTGCAGAAATTCCGGAGTGCTTCAGTTGGGGCTGAGGAGTACATGTATGACCAGACATCAAGGTAAGCTACCAGGAGATGCCCCTAGAAACTAATGAACTGATAACACTTTAAATGTACCCCCAAGTTATACTTTTGAACCTTTAAAAGAAAATTCTTTTCTCTATACCGTGACTTCTGAATTACTGTTTCCAATCTTGCCCTGTATTCTGAGGCCTATGCCCTTTTTCTGTCCTTCTGTTGGTTAGATATCCCTTCTTAGGTGGTTCTCTGAATCTCAGACACATGGACCTCCAACACAGCATGTGAAAAAATGGAATTCTTTGCCGTTCTTTTTCTTTTCTTTCCTTCCTTCTCCACTTCTTTCACATCTGTTCTGCTTTTATTTCCTGTTGTGGCTAATGATGTAACCATCCTTCCAGCTACCCACTCTGGAGGTATAAAGATCTGCCTGACTTTTTGCTACATTTTCATCACACTTCCCAAGTGCTGAATGTTCTGTTTTACCTGTCCTGTCCCTTGCAACTTACTCTTGTTCAGGTTCTGAACTGTTGTGATATAACTGATCTTCCTGCCAACACTTTGTTTTCCCTTCTATTCCACTGTACACATATTTAGCTACCAGCTAAATACACTCTGGTGCCTTCCATACAAGCAGTGCGAGAGGTATGGGAATAAGATAGAACCTCTCCTTAAAAGAGGCCCCATAGACTTTTGGAGGGGACAAGTGTAGTGATGGACAGTTGTAATACAATTTGCTAAGTGAAGAGTCAGTCCTGCTACAGAGGTACATAAACAGAAAGCTGAAAGGACCTACAGGTCTCTGTGTGTGTGTTGGGGTTGTGGGGTGGGGGGACAAAGCTTGCAGGAAGGGGCATTTGAGCCACATGCTGAAGGACTGTGAGCAGGAGTTTTCCAGGGAAAGAAGGAAGATTAAGAACTTCCAGGTAGGGGCGCCTGGGTTGGCTCAGTTGGTTAAGCGACTGCCTTCGGCTCAGGTCATGATCCTGGAGTCCTTGGATGGAGTCCTGCATCAGGCTCCCTGCTCGGCAGGGAGTCTGCTTCTCCCTCTGACCCTCCCCCCTCTCATGTGCTCTCTCATTCTCTCTCTGTCAAATAAATAAATAAAA